GGACTTAGAATGACTGAGAGGAGACATTAGGGAGGCTGCCTGTGTCATAGCCTCAAAGTTCTTTTCAGTGATTTAAAATCCTAGACTCATGTTATGTTAAATTAAGTAATAAAAACATCAGAAGATAAGTCATGTTCAAGTTAAGATACTGAAGTATTCATTATTAAACATGCATTTAAGTCTATATATCTTGACATATTATTTCTATATAGTAAATATATTTAGATCTGATAATAAAAATAATTTGAAGAACTGTCTAAAAAATTATAAAGTGGTTTTTGTCTACAAATAACTGATATGAAACAGTTCAAAATTACTTTCTAGAGTTTTCACTAGAGATAAGGGTTACTAAGAGTTAAAAACTACTGTCAGAGGTGTTTGAACCTGAGCAACTTCATCTTGAATAAGGGCTTGGTAAAATGAGGCTAAGACCTACTGGGCTGCATTCCCAGCAAGTTAAGGCATTCTCAGTCACAGGATGAAAGAGGAGGCTGGTAGAAGATACAGGTCTTAAAGACCTTGCTGATAAAACAGGTTGCAGTAAAGAAGCTGGCTAAGACCCACCAAAACCATGATGGTGATGAGAGTGACCTCCGGTCGTCCTCACTGCTGCACTCCCATTAGCACCGTGACAGTTTACAAATGCCATGGCAATGTCAAGAAGTTACCCTATATGGTCTAAAAAGGGGAGGCAAGAATAATCTACGCCTTGTTAGCATATCATCAATAAACAACCGTTAAAATGGGCAACCAGCAGCCCTCAGGACTGCTCTGTCTGTGGAGAAGCCCTTCTTTATTCCTTTACTTTCCTAATAAACTTGCTTTCACTGTACTCCACAGACTCGCCCTGAATTCTTTCTTGCACGAGATCCAAGAACCCTCTCTTGGGGTCTGGATTGGGACTCCTCTCCTGTAGCATCTTTCTGGTGACCGCTGAAGGGACTGCAGTGCATGCAGAAAACCCCCACCAAAGGCTAACTTTCGGTAAGTGGTGGGGGCCAGTGACATCTTTCCGGTGCACCCTGAGGGGACGATGCTGAAGAAACCCCCCGACCCAAAGGAAATAGACCACAGCACTGATTGGCCAACTTTGGGTAAGTGGTGGGGAACCCAGGTAAAGGTGGAATTGGGTTAGAGGCCCAACTTAGGGGAGTTAGAGTCTCTCCTAAGACAGAGTGGGTTAGAGGCCACCCTTCATAAAAGGCATGGACACTTGACCTACTTTGGGTTAAAGGCCCAACTTAAGAGGGTTAGAGTCCCTTTTAAGATTTAAGGGGTTAGAAGCCCTTTTAAGATTTAAGGGATTAGAAGCTATAATTGCACCACTGCACTCCAGCTTGGGTGACAGAGTGAGACCTGCCTCAAAAAACAAACAAAACAAAACAAACCTCCATGGGTTGGTGGGGGTGCTGCTAGATGCTGATTTCCTGGAGGAATTGTAGTTTGGCAGAGAATACCTGGGGTCAAGTGGAAGTGGGAAGATGTCTGTGTCTAACATTGGTTCTTATTGTAGCCCAGTGGGTTTGTTTTCAGGACTGGAGTTTAAGGGGCTGTTTCAATGGGGAACTTTATGATTCACAAAGAGACAAGTAGTGTTGGTGTTTATGGATGAGTGGTACTGGAGGTTGAAGGAGAGGCACTTCCCAAGAATGGTTCTCAGTGTAGTCTTGGTTCCTTGAAGACCACGGACCTTCATTCAGACACTGTGGACACAGACAGAAAGGCATAAGAAAGAAATCTTTTCAGGGGAAGCAGATGCTGACAGAGAAGGTCTGAGCAGCTACGGTCATGATTGAGGAAAACACTCAAATGACGTCTGGGGTGTTGAGCACAAATAGGGGTGGTTGAGAGACAGACCACGGGACTCCAGAAAACCCAGGTGAGGACTTGGAGAGGGGTGGGAGGCTCTGTAGCAGACAGATGCATATGTATAGCTCCTACGTCAAGTTAGTTACTTTTTTATTCATTCTTATTATTTTATTATTATTATTTGTTTGAGACAAAGTCTCACTCTTGTCCCCCAGGCTGGAGTGCAGTGGCGCAGTCTCAGCTCACTGCAACCTCTGCCTCCTGGGTTCAAGCAATTCTCCTGCCTCAGCCTCTCGAGTAGCTGGGATTATAGGTGCCTGCTACCATGCCTGGCTAATGTTTGTATTTTTAGTAGAGACGGGGTTTCACCATGTCGGCCAGGCTGGTCTCAAACTCTTGACCTCAGGTGATCTGCCCGCCTCGGCTTCCCAGTGTGCTAGGATTACAGGCGTGAGCCACCGCGCCCAGCCTATTCATTCTTATTTTTATTAATAATGTGACCTTATTAACATCCACTGGCTGCTGAAGCTTGGGAAAACCAGGACAACACCCGTGTTGTAGCAAACCATGGAGAGGCTAGTGCCTGCCGGGACAGGATCTCGGCTTGTCTCTCTCACTCCATGTGTGCTCTCTAGAGCTTGCATGGCTCTCCTGACATGAGCACAGATGAGTCGCTGGACCAGTTGCCTCGCCTGTAAAATGAGAGATCTGGATGACATGGACTCTGAGAACATTTCCATTTCTAAAATTCTAAGATTCTATTATTTGGTACACACGAGGATGCCAGAAATACATGAAGATGAAACAAAGGGAGTGTATGAATCAGTTTGGCCTGCTATAGCAGAATATCATGGAAGGACTGGCTCAAACAACAAACATTTCTTCTTTTTTCTTTTTTGAGACACAGTCTCGCTCTGTCGCCCAGGCGAGAGTGGAGTGGCAAGATCTCAGCTCAGTGTAACCCCGGCCTCCCGGATTCAAGCAATTCTCCTGCCTCAGCCTGCCGAGTAGCTGGGGTTACAGGCGTGTGCCACTATGCCTGGCTAATTTTTGTATTTTTAGTAGAAATGGGATTTCACTGTATTGGCCAGGCTGGTCTCAAACTCCCCACCTCAAGTAATCTACCTGCCTCGGCCTCTCAAAGGGCTGGTATTACAGGTGTGAGCCACCGTGCCCAGCCACAAACATTTATTTCTTGTACTTCTGGAGGGTAGGAAGTCCAAGGTCAAGGCAGCAGCAGATTTGGTGTCTGGTGAGGGCCCCCTTTCTGGTTTGTAGATGGACGTCTTGTCCTGTCCTCACATGGCTGAAGAGAAACAATCATCTCTGTTGTGTCTCTTCTAACAAAGACTCTAATCCCACCATGGAGGCTTCACCCTAATCACCCCCAAAGGCCTCACCTCCTGATACTCTCACGTCGGGGATTAGGGTTTTAACATGTGAATTTTGGGAGAGACACACAACATTCAGTCTGTAACAGGGAATAACCAAACGAGTTGGAAATTGAGGCAACTGGTGTGTAGGGGCAGAGAACAGACTGAGTTTTGAGTTCTCAATTCACCACGGGGACCCTTTAACCTAGAATGGGTTAGTTAACACTCCACTCAGCTTCTCAGGCTTACATCCTGAATGCCAATTCTTGCCTCAAACACTTATTGTGAGGATTACGTAAGTGTGTGAACGTGTCCAAACCTCCAGGTGTGTGCTGGCCATGGTGTGTGTATGCAGCGAGGGGTGTGTGTGCTTTTGACTGATGACCACGACACCAGCTTTCCAGACCATACAGGCCTCTGGGATCTGGGGATGCAGGAGCCTCTTAGTTGTTAGAAACAGAATGGAAAGGCACAGTCCTTCTTTGAGTCAGAAGACATGGGTTTGAGAATTGCCTCTGTAGTTTACCCCAGGAGTTATAGAATAGTTCAGTCTTCATCTGTAAAGTAAAGTGCTTGGATTCTCTATATAATCTTCAACTTTTTTTTCTAAGCTGTGCGATTCTAAGATCTGTAAGCTACTAACCCCTTGGATGGCAGGAGTTTTCCTTTCTAATCTTTCTGCTTCCCACTGCCCCCTGCACATAGTAGGTGTGGTAAATACTAAATGAATGACCGATGAGATGGCTCTGGTAACTTCATGCTGCTGTCCTCAAAAGAGGAAGAAAATGTCACTTAGAACCGAGGGATGCAAACCTTGATTCTCTGAATGATGAACTATCTGAGTCGTGCTGTTTCAAAGATTCAGGCTTGCGGCCTAAACTGATAACAAATTCTTTCCACTAAGAAATTGTTCTCTCTGGCCAGGCGTGGTGGCTCATGCCTGTAATCCCAGCACTTTGGGAGACCGAGGCAGGCGGATCACGAGGTCAGGAGTTTGAGACCAGCCTGACCAACAAGGTGAAACCCCGTTTCTACTAAAAATACAAAAATTAAACAGGTGTGGTGGTGTGCACTTGTATTCCCAGCTACCCGGGAGGCTGAGGCAGGAGAACTGCTTGAACCCTGGAGGCGGAGGTTGCAGTGAGCCAAGATTACGCCACTGCACTCCAGCCTAGGTGACAGAGCGATACTCCGTCTCAAACAAACAAACAAACAAACAAACAAACAAATAGAAATTGCTCTCTCTGGTGAGCCTGACTTTTGAAGCAGACAATGTAGACACTGGCAGAGCGATCGGGTCGGCTCATTCAATGATTGCAGCCAGGTTGAGCCATTCAAACAAAAGCCCGGCACGCCCCAGTGATACCAACAAAACATAGCTAAGACCTGCAGCCCGCTGAGAGACTGGAGAAGAACATAGCTAGACGTTTCCTTGGTGCATGCCTGAGTCTCTCTAATTCAAGGTTTGGAAACCAAATTTGCTACATGACGATGTTTGAGTAATTATTTACCTGTAAGCACCTAGCTGAAGCATGAGGGTGCCCACATGAGGGGAATCTCACTGTTGAGAACATTCTCTATGCCCAAATGGTGAATTGTAATCCAACAGATACACAAAATGTCGCTCTGTATCTCCCTGGCACGTAAGAATGAGTTGGATGTGACAGAGCCTGAGACCCTTGCTTTTTTTAAATCTGCTTTTGGGAAATGTGTCAGTCAGGCTCCAGTGGGAGAGTAGAATCTGGAGAGTGTTAAGTGGGGATGGTTTAGAGGAAGAGGCGACTATGGGAAAGGTGGAAAGAGAGGGAGAAAAGGCACCTTTGTGGCATCCTCTCCTGGCCTTCTTTCTCGATGACATTCTTCCTGTCTTTTCTCCTGTAGAGTGATTTTTCAAGGCTGCTTGTATCTGGCTGTCCGGGTTTTTTCTTCTCTTTTGGAATAGGAGGGAGGAAAGAGGCTTTTCTCTTCTCCATCTAGAGCCTAGTGACTCCTTTTTTTCTTTTTCTTTTTTCTTTTTTTTTTTTTTTTTGAGATGGAGTCTCACTCTGTCGCCCAGGCTGGAGTGCCGTGGCGTGATATCGGCTCACTGCAAGCTCCGCCTCCCGGGTTCACTCTATTCTCCTGCCTCAGCCTCCCAAGTAGCAGGGACCACAAGTGTCCGCCACCACACCTAGCTAATTTTTTGTATTTTTAGTAGAGTCGGGGTTTCACCATGTTAGCCAGGATAGTCTCGATCTCCTGACCTCGTGACCCGCCCGCCTCAGCCTGCCTAGTGACTCCTTTTCTCCTGGTGCAGTGGCAGGGCTCTCAGCTCATCATGGAGCTTGGGCTTTGCCAGGAAACCTTCGGGATTTAGGAAGTTTCTATCATGTGAATGTACAGATGCCACAGAACCAGAAGAGTTACGGGTCTCTGGTTGGTTGGTTTTATTTTCTTATTTTTCATATCACTGGGGAAAAGTGCACCTTCAAGGTTTCGTCCAAAGCCAAGAATTGTTGCTATTGACTTTTATCCACTTCCTAAGCACTGCATTTCTTTCAGGCTTCGTCAAAGTCGTAATCCTTCATTCAGAATCTTTTTCATCGCTTTAAATAGTCCTCTCACCTTTGTTGAAGTTTTCTGCCTTTAGAGAGACGAGGTCAAATCTACTCCAACAGTGGAAATAAAATGGGGGAGGAGAACGAACTGTAACCTTTGTGCTTAAAACTTGAAGATGGTGTGCAATTTCTTTTTCAAAAAGAGAGCTACTGTTTGACTATTCTGATCTCTTAAGATGCGCCTGAAAAAAATGCTATATTTTAAACAAAATGTTAATAAAAAGTCTGTGCTAACCTATATATTTCAACAAAGTTTTTAGAGAGAAAAAAAAATGATCTCCAAATTGTTTGAGAGAGTCAACCTGCTTCTGTGATATCTGTGTAGCACCAGGGTATAACAAAACTAAAGATTTTAGGCAGTTTTGACACCTTAAAGCAGAACGGCACAGGCTTTTAAACCCAAAGAGGATTCAGCCTGCTCATTTATTACTTTCCACATCTTCAAAAGGACAATGTCTCTTTTTTAATCTTTTGGCTTTGCTGTGAAACCATGGGAAGTGATTGACTTTACAGGCGCTTTAAGTACACAATCAGGCAGGAAAAGGACATTGGTGCACTTGGGGACTGCGAGTTCAAATTCTCGTCTCTTTGTGGCATTCTCCTCCCCCCTCAGACAGAATTCAAAAGGGCAGGACAAACAGGGAGGGGCTGCCATGGGTTTTGATGGGGACCCTCGCATTGAGTCACAGGTACCTGAAGCCATTTGGCTAAAGACAGGCTCCTTTCTCGTCTCTGTTATTATTTTTTAATCTGACAGCTCCCAGGGTTCCCTTGGATGGTGTGCTCAGAAATGCCATACTTCCTTGTAGCCCCTGCAAGCTAAAATAATGAACAAGCAATTAAATCTCATGCTTGAGGGCCTGTGCTGATTGCCTGCAGGGGAGGGGCACGGCCCAGTCTTGTTTATTGCATACAGGGCACAGGGCCTGGCTGCTTCCCTTGCAGGAGAAGCACCTGCTGCCAGGCTGTGTCAGGGGCGGGCTGCAGGGGCGCGTGGGTGCTAGAGAAAAGGGACTTGATGGGAAACAAAGGTTCACCAAGTCACCTGTATCAAAAATGGTTGCTGGCTCATGTTGTCCTCCTAAGGTCTTGTCATGATTGTTATTCATTAGCAGAGCACAATTGGCTGTGACTCTACTTTTTCTTCTTTATTATCCTTTGATGAATGAATGTGTACTAGGAGCATGGTTTGTTCTTTTTATTATTGTTAAATAGGTATTCTTGGTTTTGGCTAAAAAGTGGGTTTTGTGGCTGGGCGCGGTGGCTCACACCTGTAATCCCGTTACTTTGAGAGACTGAGGCGGGCGTATCATGAGGTCAGGAGATCAAGACCATCCTGGTGAACATGGTGAAACCTGTCTCCACTAAAAAAATACAAAAAATTTAGCCAGGTGTGGTGGCAAGTACCTGTAGTCCCAGCTACTCAGAAGGCTGAGGCAGGAGAATGGCGTGAACCTAGGAGGGGGAGTTTGCAGTGAGCCGAGATCGTGCCACAGAACTCCAGCCTGGGCGACAGAGTGAGGCTCTGTCTCAAAATAAATAAATAAATAAATAAATAAATAAATAAATAAATAAATAAATAAATATTAAAAAGTGGTTTTGGTTTAGTTAGTTGCTGGGAGGCTAACTTTTGTCTTCTTGAGTTTCCTATGCAAGCTACTCAATTTTGGAGAGGAAGTGTCAGGGATAATGATAAGATAACTTCCCCAAAGTCACAAAACCAATATGTAGTAGAGCCAGAAATGGATCTGAGTAGTTTGACTGGGGAATGAGGGGTCTTAACCATGTTGCTGGTGCACCTCAATACTAATTTAAAAAGTAATTGATAAATCACTTTTTAATAACTCAATATATATGTATTGAAATTCTACTGGGGCTTTGCCACTGGGAATTCATGGATAAGCAATATATAGCTATGTCCTGCTGTACTGAATTTTACATTCTAGCACGGGAGACCACCATTGATGAAAAAACCCACATTGTCACACAACAGCAAAAGTGCTAAATGCCCTGAAAGAAAATCGGGCAGTGAGGTGGGAATGCCTAAAAGATGGTCTCAACTGGTATAAGGAGTCGTAGATTGCCATCCTGAAGATGTGAACTTGAACTGAGGCCCGAAGGATGGTTAAAGGGGAAGGAAGCAAGGTAATACAGGGGCAGGAAAGCCATGGGAGGTGGGACTGACTGGGAGCCAGGGTCAGGTCCTGTGGGGTTGTGTACATTTCCTTAAGGATTTTAAAACAAAAACAGGATCACGCCTATAATCTCAGCACTTTGGGAGGCTGAGGCAGGTGGATCACCTGAAGTCAGGAGTTCGAGACCAGCCTGGCCAACATGGTGAAACCTCGTCTTTACTAAAAATACAAAAAAATTAGCTGGGTGTGGTGATGAGCACCTGTAATCCCAGTGACTCAGGAGGCTGAGGCAGGAGAATCTCTTGAACCCAGGAGGAAGAGGGTGAAGTGAGCCAAGATCATGCCATTGCACTCCAGTCTGGGCAACAAGAGCAGAACTCCATCCCCCTCACCAAAAAAAAAAAAAAAAAAAAAAGGAAATCTGTTCACTGGTGGAGAAGAAAAGTCAAAACTGGAGGACCAATTTCTTGATGACAGTCTTATTCGCTTGTTTGTAACAATAGCCCTTTCCTAATTGATTCATTGGAGTCAAGGATATGTCTTGCACAGGGCATTTTTAAAGGTGTCATTCCCTTTGTGACCTCACAGAAGACAGGATCCCTGAAGCTGGGCCTCTAACTGTCCCAAAGTTCAGAAACAGCTGAAGGATCATTACTTTTTCTCTTCCCTTTCCAGGAAGCTCGCTGGTTAAGAAAACTTTACCCACCAGGGACATTAGCTAATTAACTAATTAAGTTAATCAATTAACTAATTAATTAGATTAATTAAAGAGGCATCATTGTCACTTACTGCATTTCATATAAATTAGATTGTTGAAGGAGTTGCTTTTTTTTTGATTCCTCAATAGTATTTGCCACTCCATGGTGTAACATGATAGGTTAAAAATCAGTCAAATAGGGGAATGATGAAGATCAAAATAAGAGTCATGGAGTTTAGGCTTATGCACATTGAAGTAGTGAAAATATGTGCTTTTATCTGAATTTCTTGCTATGAGGCTTTGGGAGTGTTTCTGTAGATGATACTTTAATGGATTTTTGATTCCAAGTTTTCAGTGTTACAAAAGGATGACTTTTAGATTTTTCTTCAGTGCATGGGAAGAAATGAAAGGCAAAACTTGGTTCTCTGCACTAATTGAGAAGTGAAGGGCTAGAGAAAAAGCCAGGCAGCATCCATAAGCATTTGAAGTAAGACAGCTGCTTGTACCCTGACCTCTGACAAGTGTCTTAATCTAAGCCTATAAAATGGGTATATCTCAAAGAAGCCTTGTGATGAGGAAATGAGATAATGTATGTATTGTGTCTGATGCCGTTACCCATACTAGTGCATAGAAGTGGTTAATAAGTGTTGGCTGTTATTTTTCTTTTCTCACATTATTGAAATTTGTTATTAGAATATAATGTAACTTCTTTTCCTTGTCCCTATGACTCAGAAGTTTACAACAAAATATTTTCATCCTTCCCTTTACGTAAAATTTGTCATCTAGTTTTGCTGACATTAGTTGAATGCATGGATGGATGTGATAAAGGTTTCTCAGACACTGCATATTCCGGGAGGAAAAAAGGGATTCTACACCTTTGGATATCCTACAGTTTACTGGAGATTAAATATATTAGAAACTCTTGAAAGACAGACATGCTCTTAAGGAATTCATCCTCTGGTAATTTTCTTATTCAAGATATACTTTAAGGCTCCAACTATGCCTGTAGTTTGCATTTATCTTTAAAGAGACGTTTTTTAAAAATTTCCTTGAATTAATTTTTAAAGAGCTCCTCAGGAAAGCATCATCCAAAATGTCCTATCTTGTTGAAGTTATGTTTTATGCAAGAGTTTCTGGGCTACTCCAATTTCTTTATCCTGTGTTGCTAATGGATTTGCTGTTGATCCCCTGCACATTATGTGACAGCGGCTTGAGGAATGGACCTTTATTACAGAAAGGATTGACAATAATCTGGGACATAGTTTGGGAGGATGCTTTCATTTGTCCCTGGTACATGTCAAATTTGTCCAAGTAGATGCTCAAGGTTTGGGAATTGTTTTTAACTTTCAACGGTTTCCAGTCTAAGCTCCACCATCAGGTTCCTGAGGAGGCTGTATATACCTGTTTTATCACTCTAATGTTCCTCTATTTTTTTTTTCACCAGTATTCAAACTAGCTCTTAAGATTTCAGAGAAAAAGAGTGAGTGAACCACTCTTGGAGGTGGAAGATTCCAACTTTCTGGGTTGCTATTTGTGGTTTATTT